TCAGTAATTAACTGCTCCATTTTATTTTTTATCATCATCTAACAGTTTTTTTAAATCAACATTGCTTTTATATAGTCTTCAGTTTTCATTATAGAAGGATTTTTACTAGTATATAAAGTTCTATAAAATGTTTGAAATGCTTCCAATTTCTCCATTTTATTTCATCTTTTTCCATTCAAATCTTGTATTACTCCTACAGCACTTTAATTCTTTTTTATAGAAGACGCTTTAGATAATAACTTGGTGTTCCTGTTACTAAATTAAAAAAAAAAAATCTTTTTAGATAAATTAAGTTTCTTTGTACCTTTTCCAGATGAATCTCTTCCAGTTCCTTCCTCTTTGCTTGTAATTCTACTATAGCTTTCTTATCTCTAGTTCTTATAACTATTTTTTTCTAATTCATTTATATTATCTTCTAAGTCCTGTATTCTTTCCCCCCACAATTGTTGTCCTTTTTATGAGCGTCAGGTCACTTCCAAGCTATGGTGAACCTAATAGGATTTTTGAGGTATAAATTATTCAAGAAGTAGGTTGCCATTGCCAATCCCCACTGAGTTTCCATGGTTGGGAAGGGATCTGAACACAATCTTCTGAGTCCTAGTCTAACGCTCTGTTCACTACACCACAATGGTTCTCATATTTGTGATTAACAGTAGTACCACAACAGCAACAACAGATCTTTAATGTCTTTGCCAGACTCCTAGGCCTATGCTTTTCTCCTTACCAATTTTCTCTTAAGCAAGACAACGCCCGACTTTTCATCTGCAACCTTGAAAACATGCCTAATTATTCCAAGTAGAAAACAAAAATTATGCAGTTTTGATATAGGTCAATAATACATTGCATGATATTCAGTGCAAGTTCTGAAATCCTATCCAGGTTGTGCCCAAGGCAAGGGGCCTCTATCGACCAACCTTAGTTACATGGTAGCTCAAGTTCACCCAAAGCATTCCAGCTTTATACATTTCCCAGCTTCATTCAAAGAACTCTTGGGGTGGCCATTGACCGTGAATGGAGCCTGGACTTCCTACGGTCTTGAGAAGTGGCTCACAGCCCCTCTGCGAAAGGCAGCTGGTGAAAGGCTTCACAGCATGTAGAGAAGCATTAACAACAAGAGTTCACAGATCAAATAACTGTTAAAGGAGGTGAATTTAAAAGCACACACAGCCAATTCTGTAGCTATTCTGCCAATCTGTATGGATAAACCAGGCATGTCTGCTGTCACACCATTTGGGGTATGCAAACTATTTCCCATAGAGTGGGGTAGTGGTGAGGAAACAGGTGTGTATGTGTGTGAATCTGGGCCTATCTTACTCCTTGAGATTCCTTAGACAGTCATGCTCACATTCTCACAACACAAATGTTTGGTCATTTCCTAACTTTTACACAGATTCTCCCCAATATAAAAAACTAAAACCACTTCTAAGGCTTTTCTTAAAGCACTGAAAACCTTCAGGCAAAATATGCTGTCATGCTGGGTCCTTCTCTTTTGCCTTCGATTCAAGTGCTCCCCTCTCTAATGTGCAAACTCTGGGATTCCTCCTCCCCACATATGAATCACTATAAAAATGGGCACACTCACCCATCTCAGAATACTGTAGGGTTGTGACCAACAATTTAAAGGCTATTCTGAGGGACAGGATCTGTTGAAAGCCACAGTACCTTATCTACTTTTTTCCCCTAATAGGTGCTCCACTGAGTTCCAGAAAAGGATGAAAATAGCCCCCAAATCTGCCCACCTCTGGTCTAGAGAAGTACCACCTCTTGGTAGCCTTGGGGGATCGGGAAAAACCAACCAAGGATAATCAGTCTCTGTCTGGATCTCTGCAACCTGTGCTAAACAACCATTACTGGAAAGGGGTACCAGCTCTATCTGGCCATTTGTAAACCAACCAACACCTCCACACGAATAACTTCTTTAGGCACAACTTATGCACTAAGTACACTTTTAGCTACATCCGAGTGTGGCCACTACTTTCTATTTGCCACAGAAAGCCCTACCTTGATAATACTGGGATGGGCAACATGCATCCTGACAGGTGAGGCTGGAGCTCGTCTCCCATCATTCCAGACTGGTGGATAATAACTGGATCTGGAGACCAACAAGAGCTAAAAGGCACACGTTGCCCACTCTAGCACACTCATGCGTGCAGGGTATAGCAACACCCCAAACCAGACACATCAACATTTTAGTCGGCCAACATTTTGATTGCAGGTGGCTGCCATTGTTCATCCATCATCAGAGTACACCTTACCCCCTCATTAATGAAAAAGTCAACACACAGGCACCATCATGAGATCTGGTTACCATGGAAAGGAACAAGCTCACTGGAAAAGACATTCAACAGAAATCAGCAAGGCTTGCTCATGCATACAGGAGAGTTCCTGGCTAGGCTGCAAGTCAGGCTGTTTGTGGCAGTCAAACTTTCTACAGTCAGGCAGGCAAGTTTTAGCAAGTTCAGGATCAGGACACCTCCCAGTACTAGATAAAGATCCAGCATTTGACACTGTACACAGTGCCTGCAAAAGGCCACACCTGTGGCTACCCCTCATGTATGGAAGCCACCTCCAGAAAACCTAGGAAATGGAACAGGGTTGTTTCCTTCTCCCAGCCCCATTCCTACGTCTGCAGGTGCAACACAAATATGCCCGTGCATGGAAGCAGGCTGGGTGGAGTTCCCCTGAACTAATAACATTTCTGAAGTGTATTGCCAAGCAGTTCCTTCCTTCTGAACAGAGACACACATCTGTTAGAGTGAATGGGGAATTCCCACCTCCTATTCAGAGGAAACCACCTCCCAACAGCTCAGCCATTGCTGCCCACCTATTTTCGTTCAGTATGTCTATTCAGGTTACCCATGTACACATGCATGACAGTGAAAGAGAATCAGGGTAGCCACCTGTGTGTATAAATACCTTCCAATGTCCTTGGTTGTTCCTCTCACCTATGGCTTCTGCCCCACCAACCCCAGTTGGCACGAGCTTTACAGTCACCTCAAGCTGTCTGGGAAAGTAAAATTTCTCTTCATGTTTTAAAGGGGTGCTTATGATCTGAGAGGTGCCCTGCATCTTCCTTGACCCCATGCAAAGGGTGTTAGCAACACATCTCGGATTGTGTGATGAGAGCTGCATGATGAGAAACATGCATGGGGTGGCAAGCATCTTTCCCTTCTATACTTTTTACTAGTTGTGTAGAAGTGGGATTTTCAGCAAGTTTGCACAACAAGCTCCACCTGTTGAAACTCCGTGTTCTGCAGAACTGTTATTAAAGTTGCTGGAACCCTCTCCTCTTTTGCATTCAGCCAGACTTAACTTCTCCAGATTCATCCAGATGTCACCTGCCCCTACAGCAATGGACAGCCGAAACCCATGCATCAGTGGACATTCAGAAGCAAATCAAACGGTCCTCAGCAACCACTTCTAGAAAAGCGTGAACAGAAATCTTAACTTTTTGCCATGTGTTCCTGAGCAACATCGATTCAGGATTAAAACTCACTGAATTCAAGGGGCTCAGCTTCAAGGTAATCTAGCACAACCTTGCAGCTTTACAGTGCAATTCTAACTGTAACATGATCCAGTGGTAGGAGGTTAGGAATAAGCAGAAGCTGCTTCCACCAGTAGAGACGTCCCTGTGCTCACCGACCTTAAGGACTTCCCAACCGAGCTGCTCTGATGGTTAAGATCTGTTGGCAGAAGATCCAAGGTGGGGGCAAGGGGCAGGCAAGAGAAAGACGCATGTAAAGCCCAGCTTCTCAGAGGGGCTTGGATTCAGCATGGCTTCAGATGGCTCTCAGTCATCTTGGCTAGTCAGGGTTGCACCCTGAGTGTTGTAAAACTAAATTAATGGGGTGGAGGAAGACAGAAAACTGCAAATATAAGGTACGGGAAGGGTGCGGTTGTCATCACCCTAAGAAACCAGCCAGGTCTGGTGGCCAGGGGGTCGGACCTAACACTGAGAGTCAAATCTCCTGTCAGCCATTAAAGCCAAGAACTGTGGGACCAGCGCTAACTCTCAGACTTCTCGACCTTCCAGGCCTACTGTGAGGATAAAGAGTGAAGTAGGGTGGGAAAGAAATCTCTGGACGCTATCCTGTACTCCTGAGAAGAAAAGGCAGGAGTTTTTTTTTTGGGGGGGGGGAACCCAGAACAAACAAAACTAGAGAAAAATTAATTCCAGCTTTTGCCACCTGCATCCTTTCCGCCCAGCAGATGCTCTGTCTGGACTTGTCTCCTTCCCGTTTGCGTCTGATTTCGACTGTATCCCTGGAGGGGAAAGCTGGTCTTAAGCTTCGGCCTCTGCAGGAAGGCTTGCAGAGTTTAGGCATGTCGGAGACATTGTCCCCATTCGGCTTGCCTGACCCCTGCTATGCCGGGAGGGTCGGATCCTGATGACGTCAAGCATGATGCGAGTTCTCTCAATGTGCATCCCTGCCCTCGCCTTGAGTCACACCGGGCTCCCACGCCTCCGCCCAGCAACTTCGGGGAAGGCATCGACGTTCTTGCCGGCGCTCCCCGTTGAGCCGCACATCTCCCCGCACAAAGGAAGCCCCGGCGAAGTCTCAATAAATCCCGTGTGTCTTCCAGGAGCAGGCAGGCTTTCCCGTGAGGAAGCCCTTTGAGCCCCCTGACATGTGCGTAAACTCGAGCTGCGGGAAGGGGCCGAAGACCCCCGCCACGCTCAAATGCGGAGTCGACGCAGCCTTGCTCAAAGACTCAAGTTTTCCCTTCTCGCGGTGCGGCTCGTTCTCTTCTTCCGAAGGCTCCTTTAGACGACCGCCAAGGATGGGTGCTGGACTACAAGGCCCATCCTCCCAGCCCGAGGACACCTGCCCTGTCCCAGGGTCTCCCTCCCCCCCCCGCCGGCACCTCCCCGGCTCTTCCACCCAAGCAGGCGCAAAGGTCCCCAAAGGCCGGCGACGACCATCTCCTGANCCCCGCAGCAGAGCCCGCCTCCCCAGCGCCCCGTCCCCGTCTGTCCCTCTCGCGGGCCCCGGACTCACCCCATCTCCCGGCACTTCTCGCCCGGCTGGAGCGGCGCCGGCGGGGAAAGCGCGCTGGCCGGCGGGGTCTCGCCTCCGCCGGCGGGCAGCGCAGAACGCGTCCCGACCTCGCACATGCCTCGGTGAGGGGGGCGCAGGGCAGGGAGCACCGGCGCTTCTTCCTGCGGGACGGGGCAGCGAGGATCGGGTGGCGGCGGCAGCTGCTCCGGGGCGCCCTTTGCGCGCCGCTGGCTGGCTGGCTGGCCGGCTCTGCCTTAATTGCCTTTTGTTCTTTTTACATAAGCGCCGGGGCTGGCGGGAGCCACGCAGCCGCGCGCCCCCTTCTCCTCCTCCTCCTCCTCCTCTTCTTGCTGCTGCTGCCGCGGCGGCGGCTGCGGCTGCTTGGGAAGCCCCTGCGCTGCCTGGCTCCGCTCGCCGCCCCCTCCGCCTCCCGTGCCGCCGGCTCCCCGCTTGGGGAAAGACGGGCGGGGCGGCGGCAGGAGGAGGAGGAGAGACGGCGTCCCCATCCCCGTCCACCTGCTGGCCGGCTCACTCGCTCCCCCTCCTCTGCCGGAGAGATGCCCGCAGCCGCTTCCGAACCCGGGGAACGGGAGGGGGGAGGCGTCCCCCCCAGGCTGAGCGGCCGGGGTGGGGTGGGGGTGTGAGAGAGGGAGCACCTTCCTGGGCTGAGACAGATGATACTGTTGGACTACAAGTCCCAGGATCCCCAGACAGCTGGCTGAGGAATCCTGGGAGCTGCAATCCCCCGAAAGTAACCTTGGCCGAGCTCGGGACTCGCTTCCACACGACGCCCCTGGTCACGGCCCGGGTCTCGCCTTTTCCAAAGCACTCCCCCCCCCACGCGCGCTCGCTCTCTCCTGGGCAGCCGGGCTGGGAACCACGGCCGTCCTCCACTGGGACTGCGTGGCCGATGCCGCACCGGTGAGGCTGCGTCGAGAGAGGACGCTCGCTGCCCTCCTCCTCGGGCCTGATTCCCACCCGGGAGGAAAGAAGGCCCTGTCAATCAAGGTCCTGAACTTCCCGCACCTGGGAGGCCCGGTTTTGCTCTGCCCCTGAGTTGCAGGGCCCCACACCTTTCTGAAGTTTGGTCCAGCTTGGCAAACATTAAGCAAGAACCGAAAATGTAACACCTCTCCACCAATAATAATACATAATAATAAAATCTGCCCACAGTGTAAAAGAAGACTGAAATTCCATCTAGGTAGTGATACCACAGACCACTCAAGTGGAACTCTAGTGGTTTAATGTCACCAGAGCCTCGGGATGCAATTACATCTACCCTGTTATGCCCCAGTGCTAAGACGTTTTAAGCATTACCCTGGTGCTCAGGCTGGCTTTCTGGAATATCAAGTATAAATTTTGAAAAGCTTTCCAAGATAAGCAGCTGCATCATCCTGACATTTGAGGCATGTGTAGTCTATGAGATTTCAAAAGAGGGACTGTTAGACCCTTAACGGTCTAAAGCACTTCCATAGATTTAAAATTGCTTTTTTAAAAAAATACTTACTGCTCAGCTACTAAGCTTGTTTGAAGGAGATTTAAAGGCCATGGTCCTCAAGATTTATTTCTGTACAGCCGTTCTGTAAAAGTCAATGGGAGCAGTCTGGAGTCAGCAATTGTCCACACACTTGCATCCAAAGGAAGTCCTACTGAGTTCAGTGGGGCTTACTCTCAGGAAAATGGAAGTAATAACACAGTCTGGGTCTCAGAAGATGTGGAAACATTCCCCGCTCCTTAATCCTAAAGTCTATCTGCCCCCCCTCCCCTGAACTTCTGGTTTGCACCTGGGTCTATTGTTATTTATTTATTTAAAATAATTTTTCTAGTTAAAACAACAACAAAGTAGATATGTCAGTTTTGCAACCTGGTCTGCTCCTGTCCTAGATCAGTGGTTCTCAACTTCTCTTCTGATCTTCCACTCTCTCTGCCAAAGAAGCTGAATCCCGCTATAACAGAAAACAAACAAAAGCCCACTTCTCTTTCCCCCACAAAGATATTTATATCTTTATAGGCATTTCCTAACTGACCATTTACATGAAGTTGCTGGGCAGAGAGAACAGGGGCTTAGGAGAAACCCAGCATGTTCAGAGTTGCTACTGGCATGACCAGAGAGCACCCATCTATTATCTGTGGCGGTCAGGCTTAAAAGGAGATGGGGTATTGAACTTGCAGGAGGAGATAGGCACAAAGAGGGAATTTACTAATTGTTTTGAGAAGCTAGCATCCCACCAAGATCGTATATGGGTCCTGCAGGATGTACAGGTAAAAAGGGCCCCGGTCACAGTTCAGACAAATGAGTGCTGAGTGAGAATATTCTATCCTCACAGCAGAGCGCTGGATTTCGCCCCATCAAGTGGATGGCTTTTCATATCACAGGCCTACGGATACATGGATAGCCAAGGCAACAAATGGTGAAACTACAAGGCACAGCACTGTATATAAAGGAAAGGCAGCACTCTGTAGTTAGCCTAATTAAATCACAAAATCATTTTGTCCTACAAAATATTTTTCTCACGTATCAATTTGCATGTCGTTGGGGTGTTTTGAAATCTCAGTCTCTTGTCACCATCTGTAACGCAAATCCCCACGGCTTAAAGAAATTGCAGACATCTGCTTAAAATGTTCATCTCTTCTGTGGCATGAGAGATTCATAATCCACCCTTGTTTAATAAAAGCGGAACGATATTTCAAAGCAACCAGAGACAGGTTTTAGTTTTAAATGCTGTCTTTTTCAACTCCAGTGGACAGAAACCTGCACATGCCTGCTTTTACACTGAAATGTCAAAATAATCCTGCAGCAGGATTGCTGCGGTATATATCAAAATAAGAGATAATATTTAGATCTCTGTACAGTTTAACAGCTTGCCCCGTGGCCTTTGACTGCCACTAGGTAGTAGATGTAGCTCACCTTCTAGGTGAGGGCTCCAGTAAATGATTTGGTGGTTCAAGTGTTGCCTGTTGAGAGAGAGGCCAAGGATCAAGCGACACATGGTGCTAGGCACTAGACCACTTTCAAAATGAAGAAAACACAGCCACAGGGTCCTGAGGGATGGCAGGTGGCACCCGCTGGAACAAATGGAATGCATGCCAAGATCACTACCAGGTGGAACCGAGTACATCTATTTTGCTCCCCAGCCTCTTCCCTACACATCTTGTCTCCCTGCCCCTGCTGTCTGGGTCAAGGGTGGAGGGCAATGTCCCAAGCAGGAAGACCACCCCTGCCTCCTATCCAGATGTTTGCCTTCTGTCAGTTTCCTGCTGGAAAAATGACCCACCCATAGCCTGGCTGCACTTTGTCTCTTAAGGTGCTTTTTGTAGAAATCTGTACCTCTGAGGTGCCATGTGGAGTCTGATTGGCTGCCTAGTTGCTTTGCTTTGTAAATAGATTTTACGGGACAGTTCTCTGTGCATGTTCTCTTAATAAGGAAACTGATACCTGTAAGAGGAAGCGGCTGGAACGATCACATGACAAAGTGGGAAGTACAAAATTTCACATTTTCATTTCCAGGGAATATATGCAATGAATGAAATGATCAGCTTGCATGCTGTGAACAGATGTAGCTTATCATAGAACTGTCTTTGGTAGTGACAGTCTATCAGAGTATATCCCTTGTTTGGTAAAAGCATGGATTACCCAAATTTCATGCCTTCTTAAGTGAGGACACACCTATTTGTTTCTTGGAGTGCTTAAAGAAAATAGATCTAACAATCCTATCATTCCTTTTCAGGCCAAAGTTCCTTTTAGCTAAGTACTGTCTTTTAGAATTATAGTATTGAGAACACCGGAAGTTTATATATATAAACCAGTATTGGGTTATAAATAATGCCCAGTATTGTCAACTCTACCTGGCTGGGTTCTCCATGGGTTTCGGCATAATGTTTGCCCAGCCCTACCAGGAGACACCAGGGGATGAACACAGTATTCCCCACATCTCCTCCACCACTGTGTTTCAGTCCTTTCTAAATACATTAATGGTTATTATTTCAAATATTTGGTATGTAGCAAAACAACCTTTTAAAATATGAGCTGCTACTTAATTGAGCTGCTTAAACAGAACTGCACATTTGCCACATTGCTTTTAATCCCCGAAATAAATGTCAACAACTGTAAATAAAACATTTCCCACTGCAATTCTTGATTGTTCAAGAAGACTGGTTATACCCCCACCCCCAAACTGTTGTTTTCACTGTATTGCACATATGAAAAAATAATGCCACTGTCAAGATTATTCAATAGAAATTGCTTTAGGGTGAGCAGAATCGGGTTTTGTTCCTCTGCTAGGAGACTAACCTTCACGTAAATCTTTAAATGTGTTCATGTCCATCTGGCATGTGCCTGGCTCATCCTTCCTGTTGCTTCATCCATCTGTTTTCAATTTGGTTCCAATCTTCTGCAAGTCAACCCCCCCTTCTTTATAGGAAAACAGTTAGACAAGTCTTTGGAATAAAACCTCTCGCATGTCCAGGAAAAGCCCCAACCTTTTATAGAAAGCTGCCTTAGCCAGAGTCATCAGACCCCTGATCTATCACTGCCAAGTTTGACTAGTAACAAGAGTCCTGCAGAATTTATTTATTTTTTTCTGATGGATTTCCATCCAAGTACCTACCAGGTTTGACTCTGGTTATCTTTTGAAACCAGCCAAGATTGGTGCATTGGGGGTTGCTATGGCAGATATGTCCTTGTGTGGGTGCCTGTGGTGAACTTATTTTAGTGGTGGGAGAGCTGTTATACTGGGCAGTGATTGAAGCAGTACCTGGATAGTGTCATAAGTAAAGCCTCTGACATATAATTACTTCAGGACATTGGGAAATTTAACAGGTTGCAAGCAAAGGCCAAACGGGCCCCCTTCCCCTTAGTCCTCATACTAAATGGCTAGTTGGACCTCAGTGGGCAAGAGCACAGTGCCGCCCATCACATCTGATCCAGCTGGTTATTTTAGGAGACTCAGGAATCAAGAGTGTAGAATTTTTTTGGTGGGTGGAGGAGGGCTACATCTCCTAGGTGTAAATCCAGTTATTTGTTCCCATTGAATCAAGGGGGTTACAGAAATGTTGACTTACAGTTCAGCAGTTTGTTCCATGGGCCTACTCCAGCTGGTTGTGGGGGGGGCGGGTTTCTCAGAACTGTAGTGCTGCAAAGTAACTTGTCTAAGTTCTGCCAGGAAGCATGTTTGGTCTCCATCTTTCAACAGAAGGGAATAGCTGGAGAGTTTATGAGGCACAGCTGGGGAAGCTTGTCCTGCTGCCCACCAATTAAGCCCAATGGCCTGATTCCATTGCTTCACTCTGCCTAAAGGCAAATAGGAAGTACAAATAGCGGTTAATTTGGGTGGTGGTGGTGGGATGGGGAATATTACCTTGAAATGTTTATTTTTGCAGGTTTTACTGATGATTCCAGGCAATTTATTACATTTTGTACTCCTGTTTTGGGGTGCAGAGTGAGAACAATGTGAGCAATGTTCCAGCCTGGGTGGAGGCTTCTTTATAGTTCACAATTTCTCTTAACAAGTGACCTTTAAATGTTAAGTATCTATAACTTTTTTAACATATTGAACAAGAAAAAAAAGGTAATAAAATATCTCCTTCTTAGACATTTCCTGGTGTCTGTTCTCCCCATCTCACCCAGGGGCTGTAATTTTTTTCTGCAGAATAAAGGTTAAATAAATTAAATTCTGCCTAAAATGTTCTACCATTTCTCTGAATTCCAAAGCAAGAGCCAAAGAAATGAATGGCGCTTCTTTCTCACTCTTTGGAATTCTCACTTTAAATCAGTTACATATCCTTATGCAAGACATTCTTAAATTGTGTATTATGACACACTGTGGTAGTAATGTGTGCATGTGAATGTGGATGCCTTGTGTAAAAAAACAACCAACCAACCTTTTGATGCCAAGTTATCAGGAAAGGGTTGTCAAGCTACTGTAGTCTATTACAGCAAAACAACAATTGTGTTTAAAGTTCTCTGCACTAACTGCTGACTAAGTTACTTTGAGGTCAGCTTCCATGGTTAGTTGAAATCCAACTTTTATCAAATGAAATGCTTTTGTCCTTCAGGTGCCACTGTCCCCTGCTAAGGTTGCCTGTTGTTTTTCTCTATGATCCATTCCTTTGGTGTTCCTTCCTCATTCATAATGCAGTCTGCATTTGATGTGGGCAGTTCAGTCAGTTCTTCATAGAACCATTGCTGAATGACAGACAAAGGTTTGGAGGCAAATTACCCCTCACTTGGGAGGAGGCTGCTTGTTGCAGCTCTGCATGAAAGCTGGGCTTGCTTTTTTGGCTTTCAGAATCTAACAGGATAATCTGTTTCAGGTGTCAAGAGTGAAGTGTCTATTCTAAAGAAAACCCGACTTCATTTTTAAAATACTTACTTATATACCATGAAGTTGTTGACAAGGTGAAGTAACTGAAATACATATACCCTGCGTTTGGCCTGTAGATTGGGATAGGAATAGTACTCTTTCCTCTTGCACAAGTGAGTACATGTTGGTTTAAAGGCATGATTGCACCAGCGAGAGGCTACTGCCAGCAAAAGGATCTGAAAGCAGAGAAAAAGAGAAAGGGATTCCCAGGGATTACTTAGAAATGAGACCCATCTCCAAGGTGGCAGCAAAAAAACAGCTTGGAAACATCCCCACCCTTTGTTTTAAAAATGTTTGCTCTTCAATAATAATAATAATGATAATAAACTTAACTATGTTAAAAAGAAGATTATTATTATGAACATTTAAAGGTTGCTGTTAAGGCAAAGCACTACACTGGAAATTCAGTCTGTCACAGACAACTGGGACTTGTATTCTCCCTGCTGCTTTGAAAGCCCTTCTAGCACGTATACCCCACATTTCTAAAACATCATGTTGGTTTAGAAAAGCTAGGGATTCCAGGGGGAACTGCTTGGAAGTAAGCACATTCAGGGACAGCTGCCTAAAAGTTTTTCTTTATGAAAATTGGACAGAGTAAACAGCTTATTTGGCAGCCAGGGCGCCCTAGGCTGAGCCCTAAGGTCTGCTGTTTGTTTGTTTGTTTATTTATTTATTATTACAGGGATTTTACTCAGCATTTTTGTTTCCAAAGGGAATATTCACACTTGCTTAGGATATTTTTAAAAGCCAACGTACAGTACACAAAAGACAAGCTAACACACATACACGCACCAATAAGGCCTAAAATTATGAAATGCGTACAAAGCCAGATAATCTGCTCTTCTTTTTGCACTAATGCCAAATTGCATGCAATGGCGTCGCAGTGAAACAAGCCCCATGTTTCTGCACCGGGAGGTGGACCATTCAAGTGATACTAGTTTTCTAATCTCACGTAATAATAAACATGGTTAATATTTCAGGTGCCACAGGAGTTTTTGTTTTCTTTCAGCTGACACATTCAGTTACTTCAACAGAGGAGAAGCATAGCAGCTCATAAATAAACAAATAAAAAAAGATCTTTCTCTGCATGTAGCACAGAAACGCTACAAACCAACCAACAAACTCTTGTGCCACTTTTTAAGGCTAGACTGATTTCAATACTGCCTGAAGAAAGCGGCGGCTGCTCCAGGAAAGCTCCCACCGAAATATTTCTAAAGATGCCACAAAATGTTGCTGCTGTTTTATTTTTCTACACGCAATTCAAGCAGCAGCTGGATTTTTTCTTTCTAAGTATTTATTTAGGGCTTGGGACTCCTGCCAATTCTCCTGACGGGTCTTCCTCCATTTCCCCTTCAGAAACAAATAAATACATATATAAAATAATCTAGGAGTCTATTTAAATAAACCTAGTCGTCTTAAAAGTGCCTCATATATTTGTCTATATGCATGTCTAATATATCTGTGCCTGTGTTTTTACCACATAGAATACAGTATATGCTTTTTTACCACATAGAATATATGCTTGTATGTGTGTGTATTTATTACCACCTAAACATTTTTAAATTGGTCCATATACGTATACATATGTGTATATACGTTTATTAACACTTAAACTCTCCCTCAAACATTCCCGCGCCCCTCATGAGGCGAAGCTGAGGCAGCGCGCGCGAGGCCGCGCCTCCCTTTTAAATCCACCTATGACGTCAGCTCCCTCCTCGGCCCCGCCCGCCGACTCCCTCCTCGGCCAGGCGGAACCCCGCCCCGGTGTGGGCGGGGCGAGGGCGGGACCGGAAGTAGGAAGCGTCCGCGCGCGGAAAGAGAGGAGGCGAGGTGGTGGTCGTTGCTGGAGGGAGAATTGAGGTGGGTTAGGGGAGGGGAATCGGGGGGGGTTGTTTTGTTTTTTCTCCCCCTCCCCTTTTGTTTTGCAACCCTTTCTGTCTTGAGAAGTCCAGTCCAGACCTTAATTTGCACCCTTGCTTTTTGGAGCAGGGGGCTGCCTCTTTTCAGGGGCAACAGTGCCTCTGTGCATGGGCAGAGGGAGAGAGAGAGCTTTGCAAAAAAAGCAAACAAACCCCAAAACCCTCCAAAAAGAGGAAAAGAAGCCGGGGGCGGGGTGTGTGTGTGTCGAAGGGAGCATGAACCCCCCTGGTTCATCTATACTAGGATTAAATCCATAGAACAACAGCCCAAACCTTCCTCATGGAAATCTGGCTGATTTACCTCCAAGGATGAACTAACGGCCTCTTATGGACAGTTCGTACAAAGTCAGGTTTTTCTTTGGTTTGATGGTTTAACTGAGGTTTGTTATTGAATTTTGGCTTACGTTGTGTTGTAATCTGACCAGAAGATGGGCAGGGTTAAATAATTTAGATGAAAGAAGGAAGGAAGGCACAAACTGATCCAGCTTTCAAGTTCTCCTCAGACGTCTTCAGCAGGCAAAGTAGATTTAAAAAAAAAAGATGGAGGAAAGAGGGGGTGGAAATCCAAATATTTGGGTCGGCATTTCGAGGGACGAAGAGCTGCCGTCAAAGTAAGTCCCACATTAGAAAGTGGGGCTAGAAGAGCCACATATTGGGGTGCAGGGAGGGGTTGGGATAAGCCTCCAGGTCCAAGAGGGACAGTTTTCCTCCCTTGTAAGCGAACTTAAAGTCTTGTTTCTTTTAACCCCAGTACTTCCTCCTGATATACTTGTGGTCTGTTTTGATGACTAGTCCATCGTCAAGGGACGTGGGTGGCACTGCGGGTTAAACTGCAGAAGCCTCTGGGCTACAAGGTCAGAAGACCCGCCGTCGTAAGATCAAATCCACGTGACGGAGTGAGCTCCCGCCACTTGTCCCAGCTCCTGCCAACCTAGCCATTTAAAGGCATGTAAAAATGCAAGTTGATAACTAGGTACCACCATGGTGGGAAGGTAATGGCGTTCCGTGTCTAGTCGCACTGGCCACGTGACCACGGAAACTCTTTGGACAAACACTGGCTCTATGGCTTGGAGACAGGGATGAGCACATTCCCTAGAGTCTGATACGACTGGATTAAATGTCAAGGGGAACCTTTACCATCTTTATAAAATAGCCACGGGGAATTGATAGACCTCCAGATTTTGTTGGGTTTCCACTTCCTGTCCACTCTTCGCAGTCCACCAAGAGTACAGGATGATGGGAGTAGAGAAGTCAAGCAACATTTCCTGCTCCTGTTTTGTTGTTGTTGCACAAGTCATGATGGTTATGGTGCTGCACCATGTATCTTTTTTTCAGACAAACCCTATGATCCACAAAATTTATTAACGATGGTTTGCATAACAGATCTTGTATATTCAAATTGTTGATAGGTTTTAGCCCAGTGATTTACAAACATGTATGACTTTGAAAGATTGTTGAAACAGGGTTGGTGGTTTTTGGTTTTTGTACTCGTAGAGATTGCAGAATGGAGTCTGTGACCGAGACCCTTCAGAATTATGGACAGATGTTTGCTTGTCGGTACTCTTCGGAAGACAAGGAGTATCAGAAGTATGTCCAGCGGCCGGAACAACCCCCTCCCATCGTTGAAAATTGGCTAAACAGGTAGGGCTGTAACATCCTTATTACCATATTTTTTTTAAGTGGCTGGTGGAGAAGTGAGAATGGAGTGTAAGTTATGAGCAACCATAAAGCAATGCAAATGTTTTTTTAAGCCACCTAGAGTTAGTGTCCCAGTTATGCATATAACTGAGAATAGAACATTCATGTGAGAATCTGGCAGATGAACACTTGGGAACATACAAAGCAGAACCAGGTTTGAGGTACATCAATAAAAATATGGAATAAATATGTGCACGTAACACTGTAGTCTGGGTTAGTAGTTTTCAAGTGTTAACCCAGCAAGAAGCTGTAAAGATTCACCACTCAAATTACTTTGTCACCTTGGGGTGATTGACCGAAGTTTGTCCCTAAGAAGCAAAAGAGTCATTAAAGCATATGCTTGTATAATCTGAAGGGGGTGGGCAATGATTTACTTTGAGTTGCTTCAGAAGTTACATGGAAATACTGAGCTACTTGGTGGTAACCTCAAGATCATACAGAGTTAAAATGAGTAAATGATTAAATCTGAATACAAGACATGGAGCTGCATGTGGCCACTCACCAAAGGGTTCTGTGTGAATCTCCTGGGCTTGTCATCTGCCTTGCACAGTACGAACCATCACAGGTGTCTGTTAAAAACGGCCACAATAATAAAACCAACAAATAATGGTTTTCCCTAGGCCCCCACCCCACCCTACAGCTGAGGACTACTGCAAGTATACATAACCAATGTTGCTTTGAGAAGCAGGCTTTTGCAGGTGTTTCTATTGTTCTACAACCCTGGGAATGTGGGTGGACGGGGACATGATGCCAGCCTGACATCGCCTTCAGTCATCTTCAATCCTGCCGTCTCCAGATGGAGAAAGGTTGCCAAGCACCTGGCAGCACCCAGTCGGCATGAGTGATATTAAACCTGATAGAACACACGTTGATTTGCCTTGATATAAAGCATGTCTGTGCCTGAGTGCCTAGGAACCATGAAATTCTTGTTTGTTTTTGCTGCAAACTGTGGATGATTAAGCAGGGCCCATCGTGATTCCTGCTGTGATTGTAAAAGCACTGAGGTTTGTTTGTTTAATATCATTTATAGGTGGCCTTTCTCCCAAAGTGGCTCGTAATGTTAAAACAAGTAATATTAAAAGCACAATAAACTGCAGATTTAAAAGGCATTCAATGTGCAATAATTAAACATCCATTAATTAATTCAAAACCACCGAAAACAACTGTAGAAAAGCAAAACAGCACCCCAAGGGACTCTTAACATAGTTATGCAAAGCCTACCTGAAGAGGTGGGTCTTTGACTTTTGGCAGAAGGAGTAAAAGGGAGCAGAACACTTAAGGTTGAAGTATGAAACAAGATTATGCTTTACATGTGTTCACACTACGTTCCACTCTGTCAGCCATTTTAGCCAAGCAATTTCCACAGGTATCTTACTTTTTTATGTTTCAGAGAACCTGCCATATCCGAGATGATTCAGACTTATGAAAAGATGTTTACACATCGATTTACGCCAGAAGATGAAGAATATCAGAAATATGTCCAACGGCCTGCAGATCCACCTCCCTTAGTAGAAGACTGGAGATGCAGATGGGGTGGGAGCCAGCGATACAGAGATCGGTACCGTTTTTTTAGATTGTGTTTTGCAAGTTGGACTTCTTGTTTCCATTTTACTTATGAAATTTAGGGTGTGCGTTTTTTTTTTCCTCAGTGAAGCCAAGAAAGATTTGGGGTACTCTTATTGGGAGAAAGGTGGCCTATAAATAAAACAAATATATTAAAATGTTTTCTTATTCACTATGTTGCTCTAGGCAGTGGCTAGATTTACTGAAGTGCTATTCCATGGCCAAAGGGTTGTTGACTAAGCCTCAGGCCCTTAACCCACACCATTTCCTTTCTTGCTTTTTGGTGGACAGCAGTTGATCCCTGATGGGCCTTGCTAGTTGTGGTTGTTTGCAATGAATCTTCTGGTGGAGAACAGTAGGCCTCTGCTTAAGCAATACCGGCAGTTCTTCTGCATTTTCTGAAGAGCGGAGACAAAAGTGCTCTTCCTGATAAAGGGAATGAACTGAAATCTATGAAGGATTGGCCCTGGGTGTCTATGGTTTACTTGGTCACAAAATGATCCCCCCCCCCTTTGCAGAAGAGAAACGAGAGCCAGGCTTTTCCTAATCAGCCAAACAGCCGGTTCTTCTGTGGCATAATTATTAATAGGAAAAATGACTGTGCTGAGCAGTGGACTCAATATTCCCCCTCCCCTCCAGCTGTCCAGAAAAACACACAAAAACTAATTTTCATCCTTAGATAACCTTTGACATATTCTGTAAGGTCTGATCCACATTTCTTGTGATGCTTTACGACTGCTGAATATACATCATCTCATCTGCTTCAAAGCACTTGGGATTTTACACCTACCACAAATACTCTGAGTCATGCTTTAAAACACTCCAGGCTGTACTTTACTCCCCTTCCTTGGGTTGAACTTAATCATGACTGCTGGTACTTATGAAGCAGAAAAGGACGCGGTGATTAGACTGGTTTGGGTATGGCTTGTGCAGGATTTCATGGCGTTTAGGCACTGTGAGTCAGTTTATAGCACAGGTGGGAATCAGGCAAGCATGGGCTGTCTGCATCGCTGCTGGGCCTTCCTGCACCCTCCCTGAGTTCCTCCATCATTAAAAAAGAAAAAAAGCGCATTCTATTTGCAGTAGGAATGGGTGGATGCAACCTATGAGGGTCTGGGGGTGGTGGAAACATTCCCCAAGATTCGCTGTAGTGTCCTGGTTTATATAGACATTTCACTCTAGCTTAAATGCACCATTTGGAAAGTCTGCTTAAAAAAAATCAAAGGTATTTGCCCGCCTGTCTTAGCCCAGCCCATTCCAACACTGCCGGGAGATTGTTGTAAGTCTGGGATGTAACTTGGGATCTAACGTTTACCTCAACCACTGAGCATGAGCTCTTCTATATTATTTAGGAAGTCCTCTTTGCAAAAAAAGGGGAGAAAATACCTATTTGGCTGGTGGCTTCCTTCCTTCATTGCCTGGCAGGTTCGACCTTTATCAAGAGATGCTAAGCCATTCATGTGGACATTTTGCAGTATTTATTTTCAAAGGATTTTTCTTTATAGGAGAAAACTACTATTCATAGTTTTTTGGGTTTTTTAAAAGTCAGATCTAGGTAAACATATTTGGAACAACATATATTTTAGAAGATCACTGACTATCCGTGGTGTATATTGAAAATAAATGTGGCTCTACGCATGCTGTTTCCCTCTTTACAGATCCAGACATGGCAGGCAGTCTGGAGACAGAGATCGACATGATCGCCAAGGAGGCCACCGATCGGGTCAGTGGCAAGAAAGAAGTTGGGGGAACAGTCACCAGCAACACAGGCAAGGTCACGCTCCCTACTCCCAGCATCGGTGGTCACCCCAGTATGGCTACAGTTCATATTCTCAAGGGTCCCAGTACGGCCAGTATGGCCATTACTAGCCCAGCAGCTTCCCGTGCCTGTCGGAGAGAAGAACACGTCCCTTTCATTCGTTTTGTTCTTTTTAACCGTCGACTTCAGTCTGTTTTAGTTTTTGGTATGTGATGTAGGAAAACATGGCTCTCTTGTTGTTTTTAAAGGTGCTCTCTGTGTGTTTACACAGTGTCCATTATAACAAGGGAAGCAGAGACTGAAACCAGTCTCAAAGCTGAATGATAAACTCACTACCTCTTATTTTCTTGTGACTCTCGCGTATCAAGAGATACTTAATCATCAGAACAAGGGCAACATTTGCTTCGTATTGAAAAAATTTGCCAATAGCCCTCGGCTCAAAGGGGATGTTTTTCCTGAAATGGTGATTCATCCTATTTTGTAGCTAAGG